TACGAACCACATAATGCGGCGGAACTTTGTGAGGATGGGCGCTGATGACCTAAGATGAGAGAACTTCAAAGCTGTTCATAGGACGCAAAATTTAGGCCACACCCTTTCTTTGTAGCTCCGCCTACCTAACTACAGATATTTTGCTAGCAGTTACAAAAGCCAATCTTGTTCGCAACTTTCTGCTTGTCTTGATAAAAAAAAACTGCTGAATTTAGTGCACACTTAAGCACATTTTTTCGCGGTTCTTACCCACGGTTATGCCGGGAATTGTCCCTAGTAAGCTGCTCACAACTGCACGACTGCAACAGAGATTCCAACCCAATAAATAAGTCCAAAACAATATGGTAAAGGCTTTGGATGCGCTTAAAGATTACCTGAACAATAAATGCTCCTTTTGCAAGAGAGTGTTATTCCGCACACTGCAAGTGTTTGACAAAAGAAATGTCTCCCCAAGATCATTTCAAAAGTTGTTTCTAAAATGAAGAGCTTCGGGATGACGCATAGCTGCAATTGACAAGGTTTCTGGTACATAGAGGTACAAGTGACAAATACTAATTAATGATCGTAAGTGGGTTTCGAAAAAAAAATTTTTTTTTGCTATTTTCACACCAAAAAAACCGCAGGTGGGCATATTCAAACATAGGCTACTCGAAGCACGTACGAAGTTGTTCATCGAAATACACATCTTGGAATGACTTTGAGAGGATTCACAATGACGGGATTTTCTCGCTGTTGCTGTGGCATAGAAAGAGATGTGAAAGTCTTGCTTTATCATTACTACAGTATTAAGGTGAGTCAAACGTATGAGACCTCCACATCATTCATTGCACCAAATCAAATAAAGCATCGATAGACAAATTCTCCAAACACTCCAGGAGCAGCTTTTTTCAACAACAATTTAACCAAATTTTCCTGACTACTAACATATCCACAGAAAATTTAAACCCGAAAAACTTGTTCAAATTGCATAGTTATGGATGGCTGCGACTAAAGTTTTAGGTTGTGATATTTTAAAGCAGTAAACGCTTGATCAATTTGCGAAGTCAAGATTTGATGGCCGACTCTCGAAGCTTCCGAGCATTGTAGGTTTTTGTCTTTTTGTCTTGTGCTTTCTAAAAATTGAGGACTCTCAAAAAGAATTAGCTTGAAAAGCCCTAAATGGCTAGTTTTGGAAGAGCTATCAAGCGCACTAAGCAGTGCCCGCTTTGTCTTTGAATAATCAAATGTTTCAAAGATTTTTGACATAAAAATATTGAAAACCGGCTTAAAGCAGAACGATGGACTCAAAATTTCTGAATCTTTTCCAATATCGCTTCTGCCTTCAAAAATCGTGTTAGACAAGATTCTTAAAGCTCTCTGCACTCCTTGATAGCGAAATAAACGCAGCTTTCACGCATTCTTTCGGCTAATCAGCTTACATGTGCTACTTCAGCCCAAGAAAGGAATCGGTGAAGGATACTTGAGCTATGAGGATGCTATACCTTGAATATCAATCTAATCTGACACAAATGTGCACTAAGGGTCGCAGTTAAAATGGGCCTCGTCGCACCGGAATACTGTTGGCTCGAAGCAAAAGCAGGTGAAGGGTGTGGCCTGAACTTTGAGAGAGTTTTCATGACAGAACGAAGTCTTCATCACGCTTGTGGAAAAAAATGCGGATTATTCTCAGGATTACTTAGCATTTGGAATTGATTAATGTCTCTGCACGATGATCTCCATGAAGGTTGATTTAAAGAATGTTTTTAAAAATTTTATTGTTAATTTCTTTTGCACAAATCTCCTAAGTATCTCCTGGAGGAGGGAAGGGGAAGGGGCAAAGTACCGGAACTCTTTCCCAATATAGTTGCACCTGGAGAGGTTGCAAGGCAAATTCACACTTGCTATAATCAATCCGAGCTCCTCAAGTTACTTGGGAAGCTCCGCCTACAATTAGTAATTCATCCTGCATTCAATCAGGAACACCTGGGCTTGATATAACCAGTCACACGCCATGAAGTCTGACACATCGCCAAAAATTTTACAGCAGGTCCATGGAGCTAGTGTCAAGCACTTAAATATAACAATTTTGATACAAAAGAGGTTTTAGGACAGGCAACAACAAAGGAATTCCGCTTTTACCTCCTTAATTTTCTATGAGGTCTCAAATTCTCACGAAGACAGGTAAATATCAGATAGCAGATTTTACCCACTGTGCTATATAAACGTTTCAAACCGCCTGTGAATTGCAATTGATTTCAAAAATTGCCACAAAACCTAAACTGAGATTTATTATCTCTATTCAGTTAACCGAAACTGATACGAGGTTAGAAGAAATGCTGCGCTACCTGAAACTATATCTTTTTTTTGGTTTGAAAATTCATTTGAAAATTCATAAGATTGCTTCAAACTCAGCTGGCAAGTACCATTATCGTGATCGTATTTGCATTTTTCAGAGGGAGTGGGTGGCCTACATAAGTAAGTAAGTAGTGGTACGAGAGTGCTCAAAGGAACAAAAGTGAATACCCTAAGCGCTTTAATAATCATAAGCTGTAGCTCTCTGCTGCCTCGTGACTGTCATCTTAGAAAAGATGGATCAATTTCATTTCTTAAGATTGAACATAATTATAACTGAATTATTAGGTTGTCCCAAAAGTAAACCGAAAGTAAGATTTCTAAACAAATCAGACTGAATTTGTTTTCCTGACAAACTTAGGAAATTCGATAGAGTAAAGCAAGCTCTACAAAATGGTCATCAAAGATCCACCTAAGTCGTGATCCAGATAAAGCTCGGAACCAAAAACTAAAAATTTTCAACTACCTCAAAGTCGGATCTTCAGAAAATTCCTGAAGACCCTCATCTTGCTCATCATACAGTAAACACATAGTTACTGATAAATGCGTTTGGAATTTTTCCATGGCCCAAAATTGATATAGATATCGCCCTGCAATGCAAGAATATAACTTTTTTCGCGTTTTTTATGTTGAACTTGGTATTTATTGATTACCAGAGCATAAACAGAAATGTAATTCTAAGAACATATTGAGGTATGCAGTATAACTAACGTTTGCAGTATACAATCACTTATGTAGGAGTAGCTGATGGGCGGGATTTCCCGTTCTTGGACGATCGTTTTTTTCTCGTTATAATGCTCGGAAAAAACTTTCTAAATGTATTTATGAATACTGCTATGTATCTTTTGTATGATGACTAATTGGATCCTCGTAGGATATGTGATAAAATTTTGTGTGCGTGTTGTCTCCAAACTTCACTTGGATTACGACTTACGTGGCCTTTGCCAGTCACTATAGCATGCTTTACTATATCAAATGGTAAACCAAATCTGCTAAGAAAACGAAAACGATTTGACTTATTAAAAAGGATTTTTTGTGACAACCTAATACATAGTTCAATCGTTAGAAAAATTTAGCTACATCAGTATCACATTGACAAAGAAAACATCGCCATTATGAAGAAATCACATGATCTAATCCACCAAGTTTCGTAATTTGAATCAATGGGTTCAAATGTTGGATTCCTGATACTGGGGCTGATAAATAGCTGCATAATTCGCAACTCGTAGCGCAAATCACTATGTGGAACTTCGATATAAATAATAATCATCACAAATGATAACATAACAACAAAGAATTTCCTGACGTGATATGTCTTTGCTTATTTACAGTATTATCACCTATCTCTCAGGATGAGCAAATGTTTCCGACAGACATTTTATCACTGTCATGCGTGGTTTTGGCCTCTTTAATACTGTTTTGAGTCTACATTTTACCAACCTACTCTTGAAATTGCATGTAGCACAGCTACGAGCTTAACAACAGAGATAAATCAGGATTCATAAGGAAATAAATAAAGAGTGCGCGTCCAGAAAGGATCTAAACCTCTACTATTTTCGGCTAAGAAAACATCGCCACCTACTGATGTCGGATCTTTAACAACTGTAAAATCGAGTCGAGATTCTATTCTGCTCAGGCACCAATAGGTAAGGGCAACCTCGAGAACCTAAACCTTAACCCTTAGTCTTGACTGGGTCATTACCATGATTGAACAAATTGAAATTTTCTAAAGTCTCAGTCTCATAGTCTCTATGAGTATGTTGACCCGCGATTCTCGTTGCGGATACGCTGGATATTGCAGGCTTTCCATGGCTTGTGTCGTGGGTACTTAATTATAGTTAGTCCGAATATGCCTTGCAACAACATCCAGGTGCGGAAGCTTGTGATGAGCTGCGTCACTTTTCTGGTCATGCAGCGTATTGTGCATACCAAGCAATCTCGGACAGACCCTTCAAATCTTATAATCAACACAGATATAACCTTCCCGGAGACTAAAAATTTGCATTCGGGCTGAACACTTTGAAAAGTCGCATCAAGCTTGAGCTATGACATTATGTGATCCTTTGATTATGAGAACCCAAGTGATCGTGGACTGATTTTGAGAAATGAAGTTACCCGCACTTTGATGTATGAGCGGCTCCATAACTTTGGCGAGGCGGAGCTGCGCTAGCGTGCCTTGCGTTGCGGTGGCCCTGTGCTAAGGCATACCTGATCCATCGATCTTTGGTGAAGATCACGACTCCGCCTCGCCAAAGTTGGGGAGTCGACAATATATGCTGCTGCATGACGAAGGCGTAATATCTTCGGGCGCGAACGCGGGTTTATTAGCCGCGGAGCGCAGGAGGCGCATGATTTACAACGGTGACGATGCGCCTGCGGCGCTCGCCCCCGCTCAGCTAATACCGCTTCTCCGCCTTTGCCATGCAGTAGCCTTCACTTTTATTGAAGCTAAAAATGTGTGCGTGAACTTCTATACAATTGAATTTTGATAAGAAAGAGCCCCATCATACACTTGGATGCCCAGCTATGCACCTATCCATCAGGTGAGATTCTATGCTGACCAGAGTCAAATTTGGAGGATAACAGGATAATTGCTCTATATCCGGTGATGGTAGCAGCGAGACACTGCGAGGGAGAAAACGCATGCTACAAATGTCAGATTGACTAACCTCGTTCCGACAGCGTGTTGTAGAGTCGCTTTGAAGATCTTCTCCCTATCAGCAGCTTGAATGGCCGAGACTGGCTTCTCCCTGAACCAGTCATAGCCAAGCTAGATTCAAAATACTCTCTTAGTCAGAAAAAAATCTTGAAGGACTCGGAGTAATAAAAAGAAACGGGTGTAGAACGCTGTTACATATAGACACAATTTAACAAAGAAATGCGTACTTAATAAGAATTGTAAGGAAAACTGAAGAGATGTGAGATTAAATGATTAAGGATGTAACTCCATTCAGATGAGACAAAGATTAGAAAATAACTAATAAAAACTACTGGAAGGGCATCAAACAGCGAGCACAGATTGTAATTTTCTGCCAACGCTACGATGTTGAGAAGTGAACGAAGTCCAAAGTCCGAACTTCTATGATCGGTGGAATGTTCTAGATGATTGCAAGATCCAAAGTCCGCACAGAGCATCGTTTATAAGATATGCATCATTTTGAACTATTTTAGCCGAATTATAGATGTTCCAAGCGCAAAGATATGTGTTCTTTGGAACTGAACAAAAAGGGCATGGAGTTTTGAAATATAGGAGCATCAATCATTTACAGGTGGTCAGTGGTCCCAACATCGACACACTACTTTGCAGGAAATCCGATCTAGCCGATATTAGCAAGAATAGGCTGCTTGATGCGCCCTGGAGTTTCACCAATCAAAACTAAGCTGGATCTTCAGAGAAACGCTTTGGCTGCAACGATATGCAGAATACCGGAGTTTGAGGTCTCAAGTTTCTGGCAGCCTTCTACCAAGTGAGATGAGCTGCAGAAACTGGGATAAAGTTGATAGAGTTGAGTACCAAATATTTTCAACAGATTTTGCAGTACAGTGTCATGCCTTCTAATTCAAATATGCAGCGTGCACTGCAGCTTTTATTGCTCAATCCTTTCGTGCAAAGCTGTCGCAATTCTGAAGCTCCAGCTTCAAGGATAAGTTCGTGCCTAGTAATGGAAGGTTCTTCTCATGCATCTCATGCAAAAATTTACGACTGCACAAGTTGCGTGCTGTTTCGTAGCTGGTGAAAGGGGTAAAAAGTACAAACCACTATCTACAAGCCTGATTATGTAGAAATACTACATGAGGCTTTCTACAGAAACAAGGATGAATGCCTTTCATTCTCATTCCACCCGAAAAAGCGTCAGAGACTCCATTAAAATTGTTAGTGAAGCCAGATCTTAGCTTGTTCGGCTTCTTCCCGCAACAGCACGACTAGAACAACCTCACAGTCTCATATCCTGCTAAATATCTGAAGAATCGTCCAAGACTCTGTGTAAGCAATTTTGACAAAACAAAATCTGCTTTTTTAGCCGAGAAGAGAAGCGATCATACCAGCAGAACAGAATTGTTTTCATCAAAGTTCGAGTATCTTCCAAAACAGATACTGGAAAAAGGTATGACACAGGCACATGTGTTGATGTTCCCGAAAAGTAATCCTTTATCCAAAACGCAAAGATGTTTATGAAAGCTCAGACAGAAACAGATACGTAAATTTTATAGATAAAGAGCTTGTACTTGAATTTAACTTTGTTCTGATCAATTCTCAAATACCCAAAGGATTTCTGAAAAAATTTATCTAGTAGCGCTAATCACGCCTGGGGCGCTTTTCTTTAGTTTCAAGAAAAACTAAGTAAATGAGAATTTCCAACTATTTTGATAATGAAATCAACTCCGGAGCGGCAGAGAAAGAAAACTAGATCTCAGTTTGGAAATGGCGTCATGAAGTAAGTCGGTAGCACGTAAGAGAGCATAACGGCCTCAACACTTCAGAGGGGTTTTAGGTTCCTACGAATCAAAAAATAGAAGTGTGATCATTTGTACCTGGAGCAAATGACCGAAGCAGCAAAGTCAGTACAGAGTCAGAGTGCAAGAATAGGATCGATGAGTTTGGCGCCAAACAAAATGGATCCGCTTCCCTTCTACCTCGCAATGACGATGATCTCCGATAAATCCTTACCAACACTAGTAAACTAACGTAAGACGAACACTCGAGTAATCATTAACAAATTCAAGTTCAGTCCAATATTTAGTGGCCTATTCAATGGCTATAAGTAAAGTAATAAAAGTTTTTAGAAGTCTGAGAGCTCTTATTGTTAGGCAAGATGTTATGAAGATGCTAGCCTACATTTTCTGCCAGAGCTTTACCCCTCATGAATACAAAATAAAAGTTGCATGTGGATGTCAAGAAGATGAATGCATTGTTGCTTAAAATGATCAGAAAGTCAGAACCATCTTAATCTTTTCTTGCCCAATTCCACGAGACGACTCGGTAAAGGTAAAGTTCTCAGAACCAAGCCTATATTTCTACTCCTGGGCTATCCTTGTAAAGCGCTTGGAAACCCTCAAAATGTTTTTGCGTACAAATATAATTTTCTAAACTTCTGTGAAATTGTATCTTGAATCAAATTGTCAGCATTTACATAAAAGTCTGGACCAGACATACGGGTTTCTTAACAGAAAATCGCTAATTAATGCGAATATTTTTCTGATTATCAAAAAACCTGTTATAACATTCCTCTCCATAACGAAAGAGAAAAATTTTGTAGAAGTTTCCGGGAAAATTTCGGAATCATAATCTTATTAAATCTATAGAAACCACGGGTTTGCGTATTTTGCTGTACTCTAAACGGATTGAAGGGAAATGTGATAAGCACGATGTAGCAAACGTTTGTTATGCTAATCTGCTTTCCTTTTTCATTCACGGTTACCAGTTCTTAAGGCGGAACAGCAATATTCTCCCGTAACGTGTTGCAACTTCTTCTTATCCTTCACTTAAATCCTCAAATTTGTCTTACACCCATGAAAATTCAGTTATCGCTCAAAACAACCTTGTGCGTGTATAACAGGCACAAAGAGAGAGATAGAGAAGCGGAAGAAGAAGAAGACTAAAGACTAAAATCCTCTGTCACTTATACATTTCCCGGGAATTCAACGCTTAGTAACCTCAAAAGTTTTGTAGGGAATCTGATGGCCGTGGCGATTGCTCATGCTTGAACTATGATAATTCTGCTTCAGCAGATGTTAGATGGAAACCCAGACGTACAGCTTGTTAGTGATTACGGCGGCGCTCGCTACGCTCAAGAAAATGTATTTAAAGGCACCGTTCACCCTAAGTTGGGGGTCTTGAGCATTGCCAGCTAACGATAGTAGCACCCCCTATGAAGCCAAAATCGCGGCTTAAAATATTGTTTCAAAGCCGAAAAAAACGCCTCGGAATAGCGAAGAAGCTTGAGTTGGCACCGCCCCCACCAGTAATGCCCGCTCATCCATGCGCGCCCATCAATTCACCGTTCGAGAACTGGCGTGAGGGTCTACTCACCGGTGGGTACTATGCTTTTTGAAGTTTTTGATTTTCCTTTTACGATGAAACTTTTGGGCAACTGGATAAACTTCTGTATGCATATCTTCTAATACTTTTCAAAAGATTAACTCAGATCATAACCCATTAGTGGCCAGAAAATATTACGCAACTCAGTATTGCGGAATATGCTCTGGTCCGAAATGGTCAACGAAAAATGGCATTGTCGTGAATGTGTCAGAGGAATGATTAAGTAGCGGGCTGGAGAACGGTTGCTGTGAAAATGTTCTCTCAGGATCCTGCATTGAATTTGCGACCCATTTCTATGAAACGAATATCCTCTTAGAAGTGTGGAAGCAATCATTGTGCATTGAAAATAGAATATGGAATCCATGCAGGCCTAACAAAACCATCCTTATTTGGTAAAAATTTTGACTTTTACACTGAGGCGCATTCGCTGAGTACTAGTATATGGTTAGCAGCTTCTGAGCAACTTACAGTAGTTTCCACACATCCTTCTGGTCGTGAAACACTTTTCTGCCCTGTGCTCGGAAGAGCTCCGAGCATATAGATGGAAAACTTGGAGAAGGATTTCATGATGAGCTTAGACGAACGTAAAGAAACCCATTTGCTCAATAATCTCAGCATGTTCAAAAAGGCAAAAGGGAATACAGTTTCATTCAGCTAAATTCACGAATACTTGTGCGCAGAATAAATCGCAAGCGGCTGGAATACAAATTCGTTACCTACGTAAAGTTTTGTGTTAAGCTACAAGTCACTCCAAGATTCAGCGTTTGATTTCGGTATCTCGATTTGCAGCTGTGAACGCAGGTGAGTCTTTTCATGTACATATGATTAAGGGGTTTTATATAAATTACATAATCGAATCAACTCTCTATAAATCAAGTACTCTTCTGCAACTTCATTGCTGCAAGTTCACAAAGTTTGGATCCCGAAATTGGCTATTGTTAAATCTGATCATTAGGTTGTTTTGACTACCCAGGCAGAAAATCTTCAGCACGCCACTTCAGGCGTGGCATACGGGAGACGGCCCTTCTGAACCCACAGTGCGCTACAGTAATTCAATATCTGGGGCGCGAGCGCTCGCGCTGCGTTTGACGCGGACGAGTCGTTTCCTAATTTCGAAAGTTGCTCTCCTTCGACTTAGTAACATACAACTTGGACACATCGAGCTTATCTTGCGGACTTTGCTATTATTCGCTGTTGCCCCCCTAGTTCTGCTACTTGCTGCCCCTAGTTCTGCTATCTGCTGCCTTTAGCTGTAATACTAGTTCGAAATCGAATACTTTTATAAAGGTAAGTTGTATTTTATAGCCAGAGGAGCACTTTAGTGAATTCTATCTTGATCTTGTTCGTCTTTTCATCATTGAAAAACGGCTTGACGTTCATAGTAGGTACTTTCGGATTGTTTCAACATAAACTAGCATAATTCTCCTCTTTCATCCTCTAAAATGAGCAAAGAATCTGGTCTTGGACAGTTGTTGGGGCCTTTCAAAAGTATTACCTCTTTAGCAGTTATTTGTTTTTTCATTTCTTAGGTTTTTTGTTTTATAGTCATTAGGTTCTAATGTAAAATGATAAGTATTGAAAATTGTCATCATGAAATGAAGTTCTCTCCCTTGTGCATTAGACTGCAGACCCGTTCTTTTGCTAAAGTGCTCAGCTGATCAGAAACAGTCAGACTGTCAAAGAACTGTCTGTTATAAAGTTCTTGTCAACATATGAAGATCTAGACCTTTACACAGGTTGTCATGAATTTTTGAAACCATGAACCCTGTTTAGAGTGCTAGACAGTCTCGTTTTGGAGAATGCGTTTGATAGTCATTGTTATTATGCAGTAAGACAAAAATTGCAGGGTTTTTCGTCTGGAATCTGCGAGTTTGCACAGACGAAGGGTCTGTATCTCAATGAGCTTCTTAACATGATCTCGGTGGGGTCGAAAGCACTCTTTCTCGCCATTCTTTTAGTTAAACTGGCATTCCTACACATTATAGCAGAGTATTCAGTTCTTGCAGTTTACGAGTAGGTATAGACAGAACAGCATGTGAGTTTTCGAGTTGTAAAATGGGAAAACGGCAGGATTTGCAAAAAGAGGGTTCGCGGATGTTGAAAACATAGTCATTTTGTCAATGATCTTTAAATCCTCATACAATCACTGGAATAGCAGATTAACCCAAATGCTAGCTGCCAGCTACCATTTATCGGAAATTTTCGTGGTCAACGAAACTTTTCTGAAGTTTGTCTGCTCTTAGTGTACGCCGCGGTCTTCTTGTGGCGTCTTTCGTGGGTGTATGAGTGTAAGTGCACGCGGTACGCTGACGACGAAACTCGTCCGAAACTGCGACGCGACTGGACAGGTCAACTGCTCGCTTTGGCGCGGCAGCCAATCACAGCGTAACCTTTGCGGCGGACTGACCTATCACTATCATCGCGATTAGAGCGGGTTCAGAAGGGCCTACACCCGTGGCATACTGCTACTCACAAGAAATAGATCGTAAGCAATGACTAAAATATTTGTGCAGAAAACAAACAAAGCAAAAATTGTGCCATTAGCAATCAATTAGTTAGCCCAAAAGTTCTGTTGCATCATATCCAAAAATCCATAGCACTTTTTTGTAGTCCTTGCACCAGATTAATTTTTTCAGAAAAAGGAGGTTTTCTATCCACTACAGTGTAGAGATACAGGCTGCAGAAGGAAATTACTCATTTTAACTTTTCTCTGTAGAATCGTTAAAAATCTACACTTGTTCTAAAAATCGGAGAGTAGGTGTCGTGGGTTCTGTGAGCTGCTCTTAATATATGAGCAAAGTTTGTGTCAATTGAGCTCTTCTATGAATATTATGATTTTCGAGAATATGCCAAATAAATCAATTTGCTGCTTTGTGATGCTTGATTGCAAAATTATAACTTACTAAGGAGGAGCTCAATCGACACATATTTTGTTCATGTATAAAGAGCAGCTAGCAGAACTCATGAAAACTACTGCTTCGATTATTAGCGCAAGTTTCTTGGTCAACAATGATTCCACCCGGGAAAATCGAATGAGCAATTTTCTTCTACAGCTCAAATCTCTGCGCTGAGTGCTCGATAGAAGGCATTAGGTGCTAGTGAAAAGCGCATAATCTCCATTTTTTGATAAAAGTGATTTGGTGCAATTACTCGGAATAAAGAAGTTATGAATTTCTGAAAATGGTGCGACAGAACTTTCGAGCCGACCTAATATTAGGTCGTATGGAACTTTCCTTCTTTCGAGTTGTCATAAGAACACGTGGAGTAAAGATGTCAACTATTCACAGATTATATGATGCAGCTTTTCTTTCCCTTTTCAAAAGTCATGTTTCCAAACCATTTGCTTTTTAATCAAAAAAATTATCGCCAAAATTCAAACCTACGCTTTTTGCCATAACTAAATTCGGCAATTTTTTGAAATCTTTGGCCTCAACTTCTGAAAGTGCTGTAATGACAGGTGTAGAGTGAGAATAGTGCAATACAACAATTTTTTGGGCACCTATATCTAGCTTTTCAGTATATTTCAAAATGATTTTTCCAAAATGTTTACTTTTGCAAAGTGTACGATGCGCAAACGCATACATCAAGAAACCTTCGGAATTTGAAAGTTCCAAGACGTGTTCATCATTCACCACTAATTTGCCAAAGCAAATGAGTTATTCCGCTACGAGATATCGAACCCTTTAATTCCGGGTACAGACATGGACGCCAAAAACTCATTTTAATGGTTTCATCTCCGAAAGTCAAAAAAAATCAGGGAAAAAACGCCCAAAGAGGAGAAAAAGCTGCATAAAGTGCTCGAGCTGCATGTCGGCTGATGTTCTGTTAGGTTTAGCTGAATCGAATGTAGAACTTCTTAACATCAAAAAAATAATTTTGGTAGTTTTGAAAAGCCAGCCAGAGGTGCAAAAAAATTTGCAGCGTTGCACTTTGTCTGCTCTACTGAACTGTCAAGTTAAATCTTGCGGAAGTCTAAATAAAAGTGTGAAAAATTGCCAGACTTGGACATGTTAAAAACCATGGATTCCAAAACTTCTGCAATTATCTTAGTGACTACACAAGCAAATGGTTCCAAAACACGACTGTTTGAAATAGAAAGAAAAACTGCCTCAAATAGGTCTTCAAAGTGTTTGATCATCTCTATCCTGCGCGTTTTTATGCTACATCGAAAATACGCAAAGGACTTTCAGAACGATTTAATACAGTGGCTTAGGCACGCAGTGACCATTGCTATAAAGCCACCCTAAATGTTACTGTAATTTGCTCTCTCTTGTTCGAAATTGTCCGAAAAACCACTGTTCTCTGTGTAAACCAACGTCATATGATTGACCAGGAAGCTCACAATTTTATTGGTTTTGCTGGAGAAAATTCAAAACATTTGAAAAAAGGGTTCCGGAGGTTGGTCACAGCTATAACCCTCCCATTTTCAACCAGTACTACGCTTCAAATCTGAAATTTTTTGTACATATACAACATCGAAAAACTTTTGTACGGTTCAAGCAGTCACCCCTTTGAAAAGAAAATTCATCCTGCATTTTTTGTTTCAAAAAGTATAAAAAGTTTTAATATTTGAAAAAAGACTGCCTTTTCCTTGAATTTCATTTGTTTGACTCGGATGAAGGTCCTAGGATTTGCTTAGCCTCAATGAACACGGTGAAAAGCGCTGGACCTAACATTGCGTAGCGTCGCTGATCTTGATGAACGAGCCTCATCTTACCGAGCGGTAAGCACATGTCTGAGACGCAAAACTCGATTTTTGACGCGCCAAAACTTTTGGTTGGAAGTTGACACCTTGCTTGAATGGCGACGTACTCATGCAAAAGCTGTCAGGCTTTTTGCAAAGAGGTATTTGCAGCATTGAAGTTAGATTGCTTTGTCTGCAGTTCGGTTGTGCGCAGTGTATCTCACATGACTTCAAATTTTACTGCTTTAGACTCCTTCAGTTCAAATCTTACGAAACTGTCAGGAATACCAGAATTTTGAAGTTTTGAGCGGTTTTCCGCTCGATCGAGGGGTCAGAGTGGGTCATGATCAGGCAAAGTGCACCAATCATTTCTGGAAAAGGTGTCCAAGGCGGAATCAGAATGCTCAGAGTTGCGATGACGTACAAGCTGTGCTGACGAGTCTATCGTAGTACAGGCGAAGTGCTGAGCACGTGGCAGGGCTTTTCGGGCATTAGAACTCAACTTCTGCGGTTTGAAAACTCGTCCACCTGGAGGTGAGATTGGGGCTCGTTTATCACTACAGCGATCTCAGCATACACCTTTTTTGAAGACTGGATGGGGGATGTTGGGGGAATATTGAAAGGGAAAATGTGCAGAATGTAAGATCTCAAAATAATGTCATTTAGGCAAGGAACGAGGTTAGGGAATGGCTTGACCTGTAGAATGAAGACTTGAAAATGGTGCATTTCCACAAAAGCTATGAACAATGTAGCAAGATCAAACGTAGGCAATGGCATTTAGAAAAGGTAGCGATGACAAAAAAGTCTAACAATAACTAAGGCGCCTCAACAATCAAAAATTGAAAGTGGGAAAGGGCCGAGAATATGCCACGTCTTAGCAAAG